ATCTGTCGTCTGTTCTTCTCATTATGTGACCGGTCCATCTATGTTTCGCTGTCGATGTATATTCTCCTGGATCTTGAAGATGTGACAGATTTCGAAGGTCAGAGCTTCGCATTCCGGCTACATATTGAGAGTGCCAGTTATATTCCCAAAGACATCGCTCAAGCTCTCTGTGAGTAGTGCGAAGCATTCTTGACGTAGTTGAAGTATCAACCCACGTCTCTGCAGCATAGCAGAGCGCTGGGAGGACCGTAGAATCAAAGACATCAGCGCGGATTTTCGGGTCCTTCAGTTTGTCGGTGGCTTCTTTGAGAAGCCCAAATGAGGTCCAAACTGCTCTCCTTCTATCTAGTTTTTCCTTCATGTTATCTTCCATGTTCATTGATTGCCCAAGGTATACTTACGAAGAGGTCCCCGCAATCAGAGAGCCATCCAATTCAATTTTTTCGCCTTCGCACCACGAGTTTTCATGAACTGGGTGTTCTTTCGACTTATGCGAAGTCCGATCTCTTTCCCCGCTTCGTTGAGCTCGTTGATCATCACCTCCGCTTTGCTAGTACTTCTTGAGAAGGTGGTAATGTCGTCGGCAAAACGAACGTTTGATAGGAATTTTCCATCAACACGTATGCCTTTCTCATCCCAATCGAGTGACTTCATTATCCACTGCAGTTCGGCACTGAACAGCTTTGGCGATATTGTGTGGCTCTATCGAACTCCTTTTTCTATGGGTATAGTAAGGCGTCGATGGAAAAGCTGCATTTTCGTAGTGCAGTTCCAATAACAGTCGGACAGAGTCCTTATGTAAGACGGCCCCACTCCTTGGTCGACGTGGGCTGATAGGATTGCATTCGTTTCAACACTGTCAAACGCTTTCTCGTAGTCGATGAAGGTTAGGACTAGAGGCAAGTCGTATTTCCGACAAACTTGGATGACCCTGGACACAGTTTGGATGTGGCCCATGCAGCAAAATCCTTTTCGAAATCCTGCTTGCTCGACTGGTTGCGCCTCATCCAATGTCCTTGACATGCGCGAGAGGATAATCTTGGTGAAGAGCTTGTAGAGTACACTTAACAAGCATATGGGACGATAGTTACGAAGATCCCTTCGGTCTCCTTTCTTGGGTGGGATAACCGTGCACGACGTCCTCCGCTGGTCTGGGGTTTTCTCCTTTTGAAGGTAGCCTGTCATATCATTTGCGAGAAGTACGTGTAAATTGTGGCCTCCAGTTCTAACAAAGTCGGCAGTGATATCATCGGGTCCTAGAGCTGTGCCTCTTTTTATGCTTTCTATCGCAACTCGAACCTCCGACAGAAGAATTCCAGGTGGCTTTTCTCCAGCGGCGATATTAAGGCCCGGGACGAGGATGGTGGAACGGAAAAGGTTGGTGTAGAACGCTTCCGCTATTAATTCCATATCATGGCAAGAAATTTTGACGATTCCATCTTCGTTCATCAGGGCTAACAGTGGAACATTATAATCACACAAGACCCGACGGCATTTTTTCAGACTGCTTCTTTACTCTGCTGCTTCCAGTATTTTCTTCTGCTTGTACCGTTGTAGATCTTCCTGCAAAGCTCTTCGGCAGCTGGCATTTATTACTAGTCATGTTAAACGTGTTGCAATAGGATCAAGCTTCAGTTTCCTTCTCTTTTCGAGCAACTCCTTAGTAGTGATGGAGATGCGGTCCGATCTTGCTTGAGGAGCTAAAGTTAACTCGGCACAACTTTTCAGTCCTTCGACAAACATCTCGTAGTCTTCGGTCAGGTCTTCTTTAATCTCCCAGTCACGTTTGGACACGATTTCTTTCAGAATGTTCTCATCGTATAGAGCTAGACTTTCTTCTCATGGTCGATGAAGAGAGTTCTTTTCCAGCTTGCGGCTGAATCGAATCTTCGCGCGAAGAAGGCGGTGATCGGAACCAGTGCAGAATGACGAGACTATCGATATGTCAAGTGGGCACCATTTTCTGTTTGTCAGAATATGGTCGGTCTCCACATGAGTCATGACGTTGGGAGACTCCCGTGTCCAGCGACGGCTTTCTTTCTTCTGGAAAAACGAGTTTCCATGGAAGAGACGTGCTGCTGACAGGCGTCCTGCGAGACGGTTTCCATTCTCTCCATCTCGCCGACTCCTACGTGATCTTTTCACCTTGCATTGCCGTCCTCCGTCTTTAACTGCCGCATCATAAGAAGATCACCATCATCAACTGCTACTCACCGATCGACGTAGCTGATGAGAACGAATTAAATGCGTTCTACTATCAGTTGGAAAAAGTCGTCCGCAATGATAAAGCATATCATAAATTTGTTGTTGGAGATTTCAACGTCATAGGCAGGAGGACCCAGTGTGCGGGGTACTGAGGCTGGCCTATTGCTGGTCGTGCAACTTAGTCCTCCCTAGAGTCCTGACGTAACCTTGCAAGGGCGTATCCATGTCCTCACCACGATATGGATCAGAGAGAGGTGTTTTCGGCGACGATTCCTTCGCTCGGTCTTCCTACTAGTTAATTCGGAACGATGTTAAAACCGAGATAAGAAACGAAAGTAGGAATGCAAAAGTAACCGACCGCTCAAGGACCAATCGTCTTCTACTTTTGTTAAATTCACGGTTGACTCAATTGACACCAAAAAGCTTAAAATCTGCTCTCATCCCGCGCAACAGCCGACCGGCTAGTTCTGTCCACTCGCAGAACAGCCGCAGCATCATATTTTTGTTACTATATCCTTTACTTTTATTGTCTTTGGAAAGGTGGCCAGGTGTTACTTGCTGGTCTCTTTTGCCGACCACAGTAGATTCATATAAATTCTCGTTCACTTGACTGCAAATCCTGAATTTCCCGTACACAGAGCATCTAGGCGTCCAGGGATTACCACACTTTTCAGGGTAAAAAAAAGCATAAAGCCCTCGCCGTTGATCAATTCTTGAGGGATGCACCATGCATTCGACTTCATTTAGCATGGTTTGCAGGTGATTGGATTCATATTTGGCCTTTACAATGACTCGAGGTGGCCTACCGATGTATAGAGCCAGTGCTGCTATCCTCCCAGACAAATCTGCTGCCAATTTTCCGGCCTCGGAGAAATAGAAGGCTTGGTCGGCTATGGGCGCGGGGATTGATTCCACATGTGGGTTGCAGGGCGCCTCCGACCACTGCTCCACACGCGCCGTTAGTTTTCAGGGTAAGGTGATAAATTATTAAGGATGTGCCGAAGGACAACTGCTCAGAGTTGACCATTCGGCTGTCAAAAGTTGTGCTTTACTTTTTATTGATTCTACAGTAGTAACCTATAGACCATCTCCTTGTCTGTATCCAAAATTAACTATTTCAAAAGCTAGTTCATTTCAAACGGTCGGCTGTTTAGTTGCTGGCCATAGACTATTTCAGACGTTAGTTTTAAGGAGTAAGTATTATACAATAACGACCTCGTTTGTGCTTATCGAGAAAATAGGAAATTATTTATCACCACTGAGATTAATAGAAGTCACTCTTGAAAATTATTTCAAAACTTTCCACTTCCAAAAATTGTTCCCGATGACGGGTAGTCACCTGCTGGGGTAAAAACCGGTTGAGAGAAAGGCTGAGCATAGGTCTCGGTGGAGCAGTAGGTATCATGTGAACCCCGGAAAGGGTAACTCTGGGTTTTGCAAGCACCTCAGCGCCACTGTGATTATATTTCAAAAGAGTTCTTTGAGAAAATAAACTCACATCCATTTTCTTTGGTTTGGTATTCTGTACGTTTTTAAACATAAATGCTTCCATGCATTGCGATACCAGAAATGGCGAACTGTATTTATGGAAGCTTTGCAAAAGTCCTGATATTCCAACCCTTTGTTCATTACCTTTCAAGCTGCAAGGGAAATTTTATCGGAACTTTCTCACACCACCAAACTACCAGAAAGCTACAGTCATATGCAGTAACGGAACTAAAGCAATATCACCACAACTTTGCTGAGATATTTGCAAAACTCTGGACCGCAGGTGTCTATGGTGGGGAACGAATGCTCTATTGTCCTTTCCGGTGAGTAGCGCTGGGTTCTATGCCACGCTGACGCTGATTGCTGTTGCAAAGATCGATAGAAATAGCTGAGAGACAGGCGAAACAAAGGACCCGCATGGTGTGGTGGTGAACGTGCTACTTCCCGGAAAGGACAATAGCGCGTTCGTTCCTCACCACAGACACCTGCGGTCCAGAGTTTTGCAAATATCTCAACAACGTCACAATCATTACAAGAGATCAGGTATATCGTACCTGAACTCATGCAATCACCGTCTCTGCCGTAAGAGCAAATTACGCAATTTGTTGTTTCACACAGACGGTCATACAGGCGGTTGCGAACTAATTGACGACGTAAAGTAACCGGTGGTATTTCAACTATCGCTACCGATTCCTCTAGACCTGCCCTTCTTAAGCATCGTTTTATAGCTACGCTTACTTCATCGCTTATAAAAGGCAATATAAACGGGACTTTCTTTTGGCCAAGTGTTCCGCGTGGGCGCGTCGCCCTCTTTCTAAACTTATCTCGTGGGGTTACTATTTCGTAGCCATTGGAGATGACTATTTTCCGAGCCAAGTTGCGCGATTCTTCCTTTAGTTCCCTGGTAGTGCACACAGAGGTGGCTGTTCGAAACATGTTTCTCACAATCGCCCTCTTTGTGTGTGAAGGGTGGGAAGAAAGGAAATGAACAAGAATGTTCTTGTTACTTGGCTTTCGATACCACTTTGTCAGGTAATCGCTACTTGATAGGTTTATTTGAACGTCCAAAAACCGAAGCCAGTTTTCTCTCGGTTTCTCCCGGGTGAACTTTATGTACTCGGACCGCTCGTTCAATAATTCAAAGCATTTGTCCATCTCCTCCTGCGTAGAGAAGACGACAAAACAATCATCTACATATCTGCAGTAGAGTAGTGGCCGGAGTTGGCCGGTCTTCCAAATAGTTCTCCTGTTTCTCCAAAAACCAATAAATTGAGCCAATAGCAGAACTGGCCGTGACAAAGAAGTGCATGATAGCTCGTTGCACACTGGTAAGACTAGATGACAGGAGGTACACTGATACAAGAAGATGTCGACCTTTTGATGGAGTTTTCTAGACAGATTAGTAAAAGTAAATAAGTAGCTCGCCTGGATGAGGTACTTCATGTTGTTCAGGTTTTGAAAGCTACGAGTCAAGTAGTTGCCGGTGTTAAGTACACCTTCGAAGTGCTTTATGGTGAATCGACTTGCAAGAAAGGAGTGAGTATATTCTTGTTTCAAATTTGGTATTAAGCAGCAGTAGTTATTCCACTAATCATTTAGGCAAAATGTAGGGTTTCATTTAAACAGTGCGAAGTGGTGGGTCCACTATTAATAGATTGTGGGATGGATATCTGGCTGTTATTTTTATTATCTTTATATACATATTTATTTATTTACCTATTTATTTAGGACTTCTTGGCGGCCGACCTGAATGCTACGAATTGCCAATTGAAATCGGGTGGAAGACGTGCTGTAGGTTTTGTTTTCAAAGTGTGCTTTTCTTTGAGCAACGTTTAAGAAAGAAACTTTTTTCCTTCCGAGGTAGTGACTGTGTTCCTTAGCGTGCTAATTTAGCTTTACGAAGTTGAACTGTGGGAGAAGCCATGGGAAAATTTTGAACAATTCAACGTGAAAAAGCTCAGGAATGTTGCTGCAGATGAGGAGCTGTAAACAGTTATCTGCTTCGTCATATCTTTGAAGCCGTGCATTTCGTATTAACTGAAATCCTTTGTATTACACGTATTACAACCTCACATATTGTGTACTAAATGAATATCAAAACAATTCCTCAATGAACGTTCCACTAGGTTGGTGGCTTTCTGAAAACGCCAACGCTGATTTGCTCCTTCTCTCAACTGCTTTTTCAAAATTGAGAATTCTTGTGAATTTCGATTCCTACACGTGCTGTTCTCATCGCCTTTGGGTATACACGGTTGTAGTGTGCATCGAAATCATTATGCATGGTCCATAGAGTCCGCTAGCATACATCTCGAAGTCAACGCGCATGATGGACAAAGGGTTAGGCAACACTGTTGGTAACAGAATACATTTGCAGAGGTATCACTGGCATTTCATCTCTTAGAAAATGCATTCGATTTTTTCGTTATAAAGAGAACAAGTGGACTTACCACGTAAGCCATGCTACTGAGAATCTTGTGAGTCGGTCAAGGATGGCTTAACGGTAACCAGTAGATAAGGGTTACAAGCGAATAGGCGCAAGGCAGGTTCTTTATCGCATCATCCTTTTTGGAGATTCGAATTCAAGGAGATCGGGCAGTGCGGTGGGACATGTAGAACAAGCATGCTTGATGCCTGGTGCAACTGTTCATTTAGATCTCACCATGGTTCCCATCATTGAGTTTATATCTTTCGATATGCCTCGTTTTCTACACCTTTTAATTTGCCTGGTTTTCACTTTACCTATGACCTTGAACCCCATCCAAGGACTGACAGAAGGTCGAAGAAAAACTGAGAGAACGATATAGTTTTATTGAGGTTCAGGCAGATTCAAAAGAATCTCTGCGCTTTTTTGATGCGCCAGAATAACTCATACGTTCATATTCATATTTCTGAATATCTTCAAAGGTGTAGATCAGTGCATCTGTAAGACGAAACCGGAGGTCCTTCAATAAATAAGCGCCGGTGTCTCTAATCTCAGCGAGTTATGAAAATCTCATTTAAAAATAGAAAAAGATAGCTGATAAACTTTCGGCGTTGACCAATCTCCTAGGTATACTCTGTGCACTCGACTTCAACAAGTATCGTTATAGTTAATTAGATGAATATGTGGTCTACACGAGAATTCGCGGTGGCCTGCCGACATATTGCATCAGTGCTGCTATACTCCGAGATAGATCTGGTACCAATTTGTCGAACCCTAAAGGATGGAATGCTCGGTGCGCCTGGGGGGCGGGACCGAACCCATGTGTATTGTAGGACACCTCTAACTATTGCGCCACACCTGTATCACGCAAAAATAGGCCGTACAAATACTCACAATGTAATCAGTTTTTATTTCCTGCCTATTCCTTTTTCATGGAAAGATATCTCTGAATGCTTCAACTACATCTACCTAGGTAGAGAAATTAACATGATGAACCACTTAGCTCCAGAGATGAGCAGGAAGGAGGGAGCAGCTTGGGAGCCTTTCAAAAGCATCGAGGATGTGTTGAAGAGAACAAAGAACAACCGACACCACGCCGACCTTTTCGTCCCAACAGTACTTCATGCCTTAACGTATGCGTCTGAAACCTGGTTGCTCCGTAGGCAGGATAAAAGATCACTCAGTGTTATTGAACGTGCAGTCGAAACGACTACTCTAGGAGTATCTCGTTTCACACAGGCAAGGAAAGAAATCCGAAGCTCTGACGGAAGCGTCATCCATAAAAAATCAAAGATGTCTTTTTGTATGCCAAACAGTCGAAGATAAGGTGGAGCGGACATGTAGTGCGTATAAACGATAACCGATGGACAAGAGCCGTTAGTGACTGGATTCCTCGGGATGTTAAACTCACTGCATGAAAAACACCGACCCGATGGTCAGAGTTTTTCGCGAAAAGCCTAGAAGAACGATGTGATGCTCGACGAGTCCCTAGAGCGAGCAGAACCCACTGCACTACTCTTGCACGCGACAGGGAAAAATGGAGGGTTTACTGGCGCCCGCTCTAGTCACTAGACTATTGACGGGACTACATGTAATAAAGGTGATTTTTCCTCAAAAAACCTATTGCATTCATGTTTGCTCTATCAGGATTGCCCTCTAGAGAGCACCAAATTCGATCAGAATTGTCCTAAGCGGAAGAATTACTGTCCACTATACTTCTGGCTGCACGGGTCTCATATGAGGGATCTCGAGTCGTATAGTCGCGAGGTTACCACTTTCAATAGCCAACAAACATAACAAGTATACATTTTAAAATTTTGTGAAGGCTAAGCGAAAATACGGAAACGTCTTGTTGCGTTTAATTAATGAAAGTTTTTTTTACACCACGGAACTCCCTTATATGAGGGATCTCGAGCCGATTAGTCGCGAGACTACGTGGCGCGTCCACAGGTGGCCGATTGGGGGTTAATCGCGGATCAAAGGCGAGCTTTGCTTCTCTGAGAGGCAGGTGGGTACAGGGATGGACTCCCTGTTTCTGCTGCACTGATTTGGCACATACTTTCTGTATTTGATAGACGTATTCATACATGCGTGTGTGGATGCGTTCTAGTTCACGCAGATTGTGTTCTACGAGTCACTTCAGCCAAAGCCTGCAATCAAGTGACAGGGAGGTAAACGAGAGACGATTAGGAGTCGCCTCCAACAAATCAGAACCATGTCCGCTTTGGAAGACCCTAGCATGCTACCCGTGAGTACACCCAGCCCCTACGTTCAGAGCCCAGCAAGCTATACGTGGGTATCAAAAATGCTGAACACAGAAAAAACAGGCCCCATTCCCCTGATCCCGAAAGAGCCCCAAATTTCGCAGTGTTGGGTAGGACGAGTACGGAGAGGCTGCTAAAATCTCAGAGCCTATGGAAGCTGCCTGGATTTCAAAGAACTACGGTAACGATCTGTACCTATAATGCACGTACACTTTCATCCGACTCCTCGATAGAGGACTTCCTCATGCAAGCAAGAAGGATAAGGCATGACGTCATCGGCCTGGCCGAGATGAAACCACGCCACCCATTTAACCCCGTCTATGACACCGAAGAAGAACTGTTCCTCGGAACATGCGACAGTAGAGGAGTCGGCGACGTCGGCGTTCTCGTCAACACGAGTTTGTCCATGAACACTGATTCATTCGAACAGCTTACAACCCGAATCGGACGTTTACTATTAACAAGACGTGGATCAATTCTGGCTTTGACAACCTTCGTCGTTTACGCGCAAACAACAAACTATGACGAAGAAGTCGAAGCGCTCTATATGAACTTGGAGAAGTTCTACAGAGACGACCACACATTCTTCAAGGTCATCATTGGAGATTTCAACGGCAAGACCCAAGAAGAACGTCTGAAGAACCTCAGATTGGGACCCGCGGATTAGAATGGAACGAACAGGATGAGCGACTGTCTGAGTTTCTCATGGCGAACAAGACCATCCAGGGTAACTCGCAATTCCAGAAGCGCCATCCTCAACGCTGGAAGTGGGGGTCTCCGAATGGAGAGTACCATAACGAAATAGACCACGCCATAGTAAATAGAAGGTTTTGCCCAATCGATATCGCTGTTGTCCTGAAACTCTACACGGGATCAGATAACCGTCTCCTTTTTGCAAGATTCTATTTCTCGCGGAGAGGAGAAAAAGCCGCTAAATTCCAAAATCGAAGTCCGAGAATCACCGCAAACTGGGACTTATTCAATTCATTAGTTGGCTGTTGGGAAGATGCCACTGTCGATAACATCGACGAATAATACGATCTGCTCATTCAACATCTTCACGTTAGCGAAATGAAAGCTGAGAGTTCGAAAATCACCAAGATACGTCTGTCTCCAGAAACACTCGAGCTGATGCGCCAGCGTGGAATCGCACGAGCTGCAGGCAACCGCGAGCTAACGTCCGAACTTGCAAAACAATGCAGAGAGGCCATAAAAGATGATCTTAGAGAGACAAGAGCAGCAGTAATGGCCGGAGCTGCAGAGGCTGGGAAAAACATTCGCAAAGCCCACTGAAGCTTCGCCAATTACAAAACCAGAATGTTTGCTCTCCGACGCCCAGATGGAACAGTTACAGCGTCCAGAAAGGCAATGGAAAAAATCATTCACGAATACTACTCGGTTTTCTTCGATAGCCACGTCCACCTTCCGTCATATGAAATAAAAGAGGATGGATATGTTGTGCCATCGGTTCACCCTTCCGAAATCCGACATGCCATTCCGTAGGTGAAAAATCGAACAGCACCAGGTCCGCACAGGATAGGACCTGAACACTTAGGAATACTTGAAGAACCTTTGGCCGGTCCTCGTAAACACACCGGTTCGGCTCTTCACACGTTACGTGTCTGGGTCTGGATGCAAGGTCCCTATATAGTGGAAGACCAGATAGACCGTGTTATTGTTCAGGAAAGGTGACCTACAGGATATCAGCAACTATCGCCCAATCTGCTTGCTGTCTGTCTTCTACAAACTTTTCATTGGAGTCATCCTAAACTGGATTGACATAACACTGGACGAAAGACAGCCATGTGAGCAAGCAGGGTTTCGAAAAGGATTTAATACAATAGACCACATCCACACGATAACAAGACTCATTGAACTATCACGAGAGTACAAAAGACCGCTCTGTCTTACTTTCATCGATTTACAGAAGACCTTTGGTTCAGGTGAGATAAAAGCAGTTATGGAAGCCCTTGATAGCCAAGGAGTCTCTGCTCAGTACCTAACGGTTCTTCGTGAGCTGTGCAAAAATTTCACAACCAAGATGTCACCGTTCTGCAACGACATTAACAATGATGACATTGACGTCAAAAGGGAAGTTGGGCACGGCGATTCCATCCGGCCAAAATTATTTACCGCTACCCACCAGTATGTCATGCGAACATTGAAATGCTAATAATATAATATGGGAGTGAAAATTGATGGTCGACAGTTACACCATCTTCGCTTTGCTGATGACATCGTCCTTATAACACCAAACATTAGCCAAACGGAACGTATGCTTGCCGGCTTTGATAAAGCCTGAG